TCCCCTTCTCCTCATCCCCGCCTGCCCGCCCCATCGGCTTCCCCGATCCCTCCCTGTGGCCTTGACCTTGTTAACCCGCACCCCTTATCCCTGTCTCTGTCCTCTTCCGTCAGCACCCAGTGGCTCTGCCCCTGCGCTCTCAAATTCCCGCTGCATCTCTGTCTGTTCACCCCTAAATCCTCCTTGCTGTGCCCCTGCGCAGGGGGGGTCCCGCTTCCCCCGAGACCGGGAGCATCCTGCAGTCCCTCCTGCGTCTTTTCCCCGTCGTCCTCCTCCTCTCCGCCCGCACTCTTAAATCCCCCCCCTGCATCCCGGGCTCTGCATCCTCGTCCTTGTGAGCATCCCTTCATCCTCTCTGTGTCCTTCCCACCGCCATCGCTCAATCCGCTCTGCCCTTCCCTCTGTCCGCTCCCCAAACCCCCCTGCGGCCCATCTCCAGCCTCCCTGGAACATCAGCCTGGTGGGAAGGCCCAGCTCCCTCCCGGTGTCCAGATTTTCTCCCCCGATATCCAGGCCTGGCTTAGCAGCATCCCTGGACCTCCTTTGGCAGGGAGAAGCTCAGGCTGAGGCCGCCCCAGGCATGGGGGGGTCCCGCTGCCCCCCAGACTTTGGCTCAGCCCCGCTCCTCCCGGTGCCTGCAGGGACAGGGATGGCAGGTTGCTGGGCACCGATCCCAGCTGGTTTGTTCCCGGCTTTGACCTTGATGCCTGGCCTGGCCGGTGCCAGCCCTGCCTGGGGACCCGCTGGGCCTCTCGTCCTGCCGGGACTCATCGTGCCTTCCCCGGCATCCCGGGGTGCTTCTCCTCCCTGTTATTGCCCTAATTGATACAGCGCGGTGGCTGCCGCATGAGTCAGGCGGGCATTCCGTCCCTCCGAGGGGATGCCGTCCCTCCCTGGGGATGCCGTCAGAGCTCCCCAGCGGGCAGGATGTGAGGAATGGGGTGCGTGCCCGGGCCCCGCGGGGTAATGCCGGCTCTCCTGGCCCCTCGCCAAAAGAGGGCTCCCCCAGGGCTCCCCGCTCTGGAGACCGGGCTGTGGATGGTGTGCCCATGGAGGCAGGGCAGGGAAACCGCCCCCGTGCTGCTCAGCATCCTCGCTGCCATTCCTACAGCTGGATTTTCGTAGGAGTGGGCTGGACGGGGAGGATGCTGGGGTGACCTGCGGGCACCACGTGCAGAAGAGTGCAGAAACGTGCTTGGCTCCCTGCAGCAGGGCTCGTCACCAGTCCTCTTGTGCCACGAGTGCCAGGGCAGTGGGAAGAGCTCACCTGTCCTGTCACCTGAGACGGGGACAGTGTGTCCCTGCCTCCAGCATTCTCCTGCCTAGGGCAGCATGGGCTCCATCTGTGTGCCATGTCCCTCCTTGTCCTACTCTAAGGATATGCAGGATATTCTTCAGCTTGTGTCCTTTACACTAAAAAGAAGCCATTTCAGAGCTTTATTCTCCATTTTCCTGCTGCTGCTTAAAATGCCTCCATGCCACCTTTTGTCCATCTGTTTTACCCCAGGAACTTGCTGGTCTTCACTGGGGAGTCAGAAATGGGGAGTGGATGCTCAGAACCGGGACAGGCTCTGCTGCAGTGCCCTGGCCTGGCTGCTGGTTTTGGGCTATTCCCTCTTGGTTATCAGCCGTGCCCTTGGTCTGGGGTGAGACAAGCTGGAGCCAGTGTTCCTTGCTCTCCCTGAGCTGTGGCTAGCAATCTCTCTCCTTCTCCTGGTGTCCTCTTCCCAGGAGCTGGGGCAGAGGCTGGACAGGCAGAACCAGCCAGGCAGGCAGTGTCGGGCAGAGCTGTCTGTGCTCCTTCACTGGCAGAGCAGGGCGTTCAAAGTCGGCTCCCGCCTCGCACAGTTTTCCCTGTGTTCCTGCTGCCTGGAAAGTAGGGCACCATGCACCAGTACAGACCACAGCCTTGGGTGTTTGGGCTAGGAAACCATCGGTCGCTGTCCTGCGAGGGGCAAGCAGTGATTTTGTGACAGGAGGATCTCTGCTGCTGGCACAACAGGAGATCCTTCCTGTCTCTGCAAGCGCTCCTGGGGAGGAGGGCAGTTTTTGGGGCTGTGGGGATGCTGAGCTGTGCTGACCTCATCCTCTGTTCCCACAGAGTGGAGGCCTGCAGTGATCCTGGCAGCCATCGACTGTGCTGACGAGGAAAACCAGCAAGTGTGCTCTGATTTTGGGATAACCGGCTTCCCCACCATGAAGGTGAGACTGCGTGTGCCGGGTACTTGCTGGGTTTCACTGTGTTTTGCCTTTGGCCAATCCCTCTCTTGCCCAATCAGATTGACAGGGGTATTGCACCAAAATACTCCCCTTGGGGCTTTGCAGGCTGAAGCTGTTTCACCCTTCCCCAAAACAGTGCTGTGTCCTGGCTGCAGCCGGTACAACTGCTGGGCGATGGAGCAACAACGAGGTGGGGGTGAAACCAAAATGATGTTTTGTGGTGAAACACAGGGGCTGGATCTCTGCTAGGATGAGGGAGAGTCTGAATCCTGAGCTGGAAACACTTAAGAAAGGCAGTTTGAGAGAAGAGAGGTTGCAGGCACAGGTTTTGGAGGAGGGCACGGGGATGCTGCGGGAGGTTTGCAACTCCTGGGAGCCTCCTGTGGTGGCTGGCAAGGAGCCACCCCTCCTCCTCCTGGGCCTGTGCCCAGCCCTTTAGCTGTGTCAACACACTGCTCTGCAGAGCTGCCTGCTGCAAACAGAGCCTTGCTCCAACACAAGCAGTGAAGCCAAAGCACTCCAGGTGCCACAGTCAGCAGTTAAAACCAGGATAGCCTTGAGGTGAAATGGGTAGGGATGACGGTTTTATCAGACATGCCCTCAGTCCCAGCTTACAGGCTCTGCTCCAGGTGAGGTCAAAATTGGGGTTTTCCAAGCAGGTTGGCTCAGCCCCAGCCCTGCCCTCGGGTCTCACCAGGTGCCCACTGCCCTGGGACTCTGATGGAAACATCTCCTGGGGCAGGGAGGTGTTGCTGTATTGTGTGGCTGATGTGGCCATGCCAAGACGCCACTTGCTTCACATCCCATGTCCCTGCCGAGCACCTTTTGCAAACAGCCCCAGCTCCCAGCCCAGCCTGCAAAGCAAACACCTGGCTGATGCAACCTGGTGTTGCTGCTCTGGCTCTGCCCTAGCTACTGGAGACACTGTGGGAGGCCAGGAGTGGGGAAACCCCCTTTTTCCTGCTTTGTCAGAACTCTGGAGCAGGGAGATGGATTTGCAGGACTGGGGAGGTTCCAGCTGCCTCCCTGGAACCCCTGAAGACACCTACTGCACTGTCTGCCAGTGCTCAGCCCTTGGCTGGACATGGCTCCCAGCCCATACCTGCATCCCTCCCCTCTGGGGATGCCCCAAAAGATGGGGACATGGTTGGGAGCTCCCTCTGTGCTCACTGATGTCAGTTGGTATGCTGCAGTGTTGTGGGGAAGCTGAGGCAGAGCTGATCTACAGAGAGCCCCAGCCTGCTGGGTTGCACTGCCTCCTGTCCCACTCCAAACACTCACGCCAGTTTCCCCTTGTGTATTTTTTCCCCTTTCAGTTCTTCAGAGCTTTTAGCAAGAAGCCAGAGGATGGGATAAGGATTACCAGTGAGTATCCAGAGCTGGGGGGCAGCTCCAAGCAGCTTCCCTTGACTCAGCCCCTGGGATTGGCTTCCCCAGGACTGACCCCTCGGTGTCCTGTCCCCCTGCAGATCCCAGTGCCACTGTCGAGGAGCTGCGCCATGCCATCATCACCAACCTTGAGAAGAGCCAGGATGCCTGGCCACCTGCCTGTCCTCCACTGGAGCCAGCAAGGTAGGGGCAGCAGAAAGCCAGGATGGCCTCTGTCCCATGGGGAGCAGGTTTCTGGGGAAATCCTGATCCCAAAATGAGCAAGGAGCAGCTACTGCATCACCCACGTGCCAGGGGGACACAGATGACCTGGCCAGGATAGAGATGTTTCCATGCCCAGATGAGGATGGGCCATATTATCACATCTCCTAACGAACCTGCTCATCAGCCTTACTTGGAACAAGCAACTCCTGGGCCCCAAATCCTTTGGGGCATAGCAGTGTCATGCCATGCTGAGTGAGGCTGCATTAGAAGCTTTTTCCTGGCCTGAAAAAGGGTTTTCTTGATTCTGTACAATTTTGCTGGTGTTTGAGTTGTCCTTGCTGGATGCAAGCAGTTGCTGCATTGTCATGAGAAGAAGCCTTTGGATTTCCCAAAGCAATGGTTGAGCCAGGTACTCTGGTGCCTCTGTGTCTTAGCCAAAAAAAAACCCAAGCCCTGGTTCAAATTCTTTGCTGTTTTTCCCTGGGTGTGCGTGCAGCTCCCTCCTGCCCTGCCCTGCCTGTGCTTTGTTTTTAACCTCCTTGGCTAAGCCCAGTGGGTTTCCTCAAAGCCTGTGAACCAGAGCATAAAACTAGGCTGGAAACTTCAGCAGGAGGAATTGCCTGCTCAGTGGGGCTGATCCTGCACCAGCATTCCCTGCCAAATCCCAGCGGTCAAGGGTCAAACCCCTTATGAGGGGGAGGGCAGAGCATCCTGCTGATGCCGAGGCACCTGCTGCTGTCCTCCTGTCTCTTGCAGCGCCGAGGAGGTTCGCACCTTCTTCCAGAGGAACAAGGACCAGTACTTGGCACTCATCTTTGAGAAGAGCAACTCCTTTGTGGGCAGAGAGGTGGGCACTGCTGCCTTTAACCCCCATTTCTCTTGGAGCCTGTGTCCCTGGTGCCTGATAACTCCTGGGTGCCTTTGGCCTGATAACTCTGGGAAGCCTCCCTGCTTAGCTTAGCCAGTGCCAAATGTTACACAGGGCACTGAGCAGCTCTGCTACCTCCCTGATGGGGCTGGGGAATCCCTCTGCACCCCCCATCTGACCCTGGGGTTTGCAGGTGACCCTGGACATGCTGCAGTACGAGAACATCGCGGTGAGGAGGGTGCTGAGCAGCGAGGAGGAGCTCGTGGAGAAGTTCGGCGTCACCTCCTTCCCCTCTGGATACCTGCTCCTCCGCAATGGCTCCTTCTCCCGCCTGCCTGTGTGAGTGTGGGACACAGCAGGGTGGCTCTGGGGATGCTGGTGGGGTGTCAGCCTTGTGCCCCATCTCTGTGCTCCTTTGTACTTGTGGGAAGGTGCATTAGGAAGGAGACCGTGGCTGGGCAGGGGAGGCTGGTGGGAGGTTGCTGGTGGGCATTGAGCTGCACTGCCAGCCCTGGATGGAGCTGGAAGAAGGGAAAATCCTTGTGACTGAGCCATTCCCTTCCCACACCTGCCCAGAGGTGACATGATATGTCTACCTGGGGCTCAACTCTGCTCCAGGGTGCAGGTGGAGACTATGGAGCACCCCACACTCCCTCCCCAGGCTGAACTACCCGCTTGGCTAAGCCTTCATCTCCTTTGCTTCCTTCCTTGGGGTCAGGGTTTGGGAGGGAAGAGGCACTTAGGGCTTCTCCTTCCTGGCAGGCACGTGGAGGCGCGCTCCTTCTACACCTACTACCTGCGCACGCTCACGGGCATCACCCGCGGCTCCTACAAGCTGAACGCCACGGCCAGCACCTTCAACGAGACTGACCGCGTGTCACATCCTCTGCGAGCCGACCGGTCAGACCCCTCACCCTGCTGGGCAAACTGGGGAGGCCAAGGGCTGGGACCTGGGAGGACCCTCAAGGGTGAGGATTAAGGGTCTGACGGAGCCTCGTGTTGCGCTGCCCTCCCCAGCTCCAAGCTGTACATGGCCGACCTGGAGTCCGCGCTGCACTACTCGCTGCGGGTGGAGGCTGCCCGTGCCTCCTCGCTGTCAGGAGCACAGCTGGCTGCCTTCAAGTGCTACGTGGCCACGCTGGTGAAGGTGAGGAGCTCTGGCTGTCAGGAGAGGAACTGCCTGTGCCTCCCTTTGTTTGTTTATGAAGTGCAAACGCACACTGCAAGCCACCAAGTCCCAGTACTCGCAGGTAGTGAGGTGTGGCAGTCTCAGGTGTGGGCCCTGTGTCCTGGTTGCTGAGTGTATCCCCTGGCTGCTGCCAGGCAGTCCCCATCCATGTGGATCTCCAAACTCAGCCCAGAGTCCCAGTGGGAGCTAAGAGGGAGTGCTGGACTGCTTTAAATGCTGGCTTTGGTGGCAGTGGGACCATCGCTTGGAGGAGGTGTCAAGGCAGGAGGTCTTTTCAGAGGAGAGGCAGTCACCTGCTGGGGTGTCAGAGATGGTCACAGGGGTTTGTCACTCTGATCTGGACGCTCAACTCAGGGAGCCAGTCTCTGCAGGCTCCTTTGGTAATAGTCCAGGAGAGGAACTCCCACTCCAAGTCAGGCTCCAGACAAGCCTAATTTAAGGTCTCCTTTTTTCTTCTATGTTAGGCCTGGCACAGCTGAAGTGACTGAGAGCTTTGAGCCAGCACATGCAGGGCAGTTTAATTTCCTGCTGTGATGGAGTCCTGCTGCATTTGGCTGTTTCCTCCACTGGGCCTGCAGGAGCCCTGTCTCCATCCCAGTCCTTGTCACAGTCCAGGCTACTTGGCAGACTGGGGCCATGAGCTCCTTCTTTGCTCCCTCCTTTGTCACCAAGGGTCTCACGCTCAGTTTGGACCTTGCATAGCCCTCACTGATGTGCAAGACACCCCCTGCTCCCTCCCCCATCTGTCTCCAGACACATGCCTAAAGTCCTCAGACCTTCACGTGGCTCCTCTGCTTGCCTCCAACCATTGCCCTCATTCTTTCTCCCTTCAATGTGAACTTCAGAGCAAGGGAAATAAATCCCTGTGGCACCAGCTCCCTGCTCATGGGTACGAGTGTGCTGGGGTGGTGGGCAGCAGCAATGGTTTTATTTGATCCATTTTTAATTCTTCCTGCAAACCTTCCCCTCGATGAGCTGTAGCAGTGGGTGGTGGGTGCTGCTGCTTCCCCGGGGACGCTGAGCCAGCACTGCCATTGCCTTGCTCATCCACAGGACGGAGCAGCATCCCCAGGATTGCCAGCCCAGGGCTCAGCCTGGGGGAGCTCAGCCAGCAGGTCCCAGCCTTAACTCTTGCATTCCCAAGAGGTATTAAAGGAAAGGAGAGGGGGGAAAAGTCCTAACGTGGAAAAAAGTGGCGACAGGGAATCACACAGCAAAACCTTCTGTCCGAGGAGTTGGGGGACACTGTTTGCAGCACAGCTGATACGTTCCCCTGCAAATTTGGGTCTTTGCATGTGGCTCACCATGGGCCTGGGAGGAAGAACAACTCAGACTCAGCAAAATCCTCCTTCTCTTTGCTTCTCCATCACTTCTCCTGTGTGCTGGTGTTTCCTCCTCCCCACAGGCCGGTCCCTCTGTCTGTCTGTCTGTCTTGGTGGCACAAGCTGCCAGGCTGCTTCTCTCCCAGGAGTGGTTTTAAAGTGCAGCTGCTAATCGGCTTTGCCAGACTTATGGACAGAGTGGCTTTTTGCCTCCCTCAGTTGGGGCTGGGGTTTGAAGCCTGAACATGCACACAAGGGACTTGTCACCCTGTGGGGGGTGACAAACTGCAACCCCCAGCCCCTCAGAGATGGGCACCAAAACCTTGCCAGGGCCACGCCGCTCTCCAGGAGAGAGGATGCTGGTGCTGCCTGGTGCCTGTGCTGGTGAGCCAGGGGTGCCTGTGGGCTGCTCTGTTGCTCCCAACGTGGAATCTGTGTTTTCTCACCCCTCTCTCCACTCTGCAGTACTTCCCAGGGCGCCCCTGTGTGCAGACCTACCTGCAGACCCTGGATGCCTGGCTGAAGAACTGGACAGAGCCTGAGCTGCCCCGCACAGTTTTGAAGGAGGCCATGAAGAATAACAGAGATGTAAGATGCCCATGGGGACCCCCAACCCCTGCTCTCCTTACCCCTGCCCCTTTCCCCCCGAGCTGGCACTGCCTGCCAGCCCCATCATACCATGTCCATCTGTCCACCAGGCCTCCCACCCCTCCGTGCTCCCCACCAATGTGACCTGGGTGGGCTGCCAGGGCAGTGAACGCCACTTCCGTGGTTACCCCTGTGGGCTCTGGACCATCTTCCATCTGCTGACTGTCCAGGCTGCCCAGAATGGCCCTGATAAAGGTACTGGTGTCACTGGGGGCGTCAGGGGCTCAGGGAGGGAGTGTCCAGCTGAGCTCTGGCACGGGTAGGGATGCTGTATGTGGACAAAGGCTTGTTTCTTCCCCCTTCTTCATCTTACCCAGGAGTAGTTTCCATAGGGTAGAAGAGACAAAGAGCTGGGGTGTGGGGTTGCTAGCTCAGCTGTGGGACTGTGGTGGTGGCACTGGGGGGTCCAGACTCACCCCTGTGCTCTGCCTCCCCCAGAGTTACCCCTGGAGGTGCTGAGCACCATGCGCTGCTACGTCCGGCACTTCTTCGGCTGCCAGGAGTGCGCCGAGCACTTTGAGGCCATGGCAGCCAAGTCCATGGACAAGGTGGCGAGCAGGGAGGAGGCCATCCTCTGGCTCTGGTCCCACCACAACGAGGTCAACGCTCGCCTGGCGGGTAAGGAAGAGAAAAGGGGAGGTGAGGTGGAGGAGCATCACTCCTCCTGGATGGGTCTGGCAGCTGGCTGCAGGGTGTAGCAGTGGGGACATCCTGTTGTCATTGTCCCCCATCCCAGGGGACAGCAGCTGGTCACACAGCATCAGACTGCCCCAGAGATACAGTGGGATCTTAGATGCTCCTTACAAGGAGCTTCCCAAAGCTGCTGTTTGCCCTCAGAGAACCCCTCCTCCCGAGGTGGCTCATCCAAATGTCCCCATCCCCAGTTGCTGGATTCCCCAGGGTGTTTATACAGGGGGAGGGAGTATCACGTGTCCCCTCTAACCCCCCCCTCGCTGGCTCCGGTCCCTGCAGGAGGTGACACGGAGGACCCCAAGTTCCCCAAGCTGCAGTGGCCTCCGCCAGACTTGTGTCCCCAGTGCCACAAGGAGGAGCGGGGGGTCCATGCCTGGGAGGAGCCAGCCGTGGTCACGTTCCTCAAGGCACACTTCTCTCCGGCCAACATCTACATGGACTTCGCTGAGCCCGACCCCATCCCCGTGGCCAGGGAAGGGCCGGGAGCCAGGCTGGGCACGGAGGGCCCGCGAGAGGAGAGGGGGAGAGGAGAAGAGGAGGAAAAGGAGCCAGAGGGCGAGGCGAGAATCCCGGGGCGCCCGGGCTCCCCAGAGCCGCGGCGCCCCAGCATCGTGCGGCTGAACCCCAAACTGCGGGAGGGGGGCGAGGACATCGTGGACCTGGATTCCTTCAGCGAGCAGCACTTCAAGAGCCAGGCGCTGCGAG